ATGTTTGTACTCAGTGGAGCACGTACTTCTTGACATCTTGATCATTGCATCAAAGTAAAAATGTATTGCAATAGAAAATACAAACTGAATTTGGATTTGGAAGAACTGCTAAACTATAAACAAGTCAAAAAAAGTTGCCTGGTAAACTTATTGTAGACAATATACTGTAATGTAAAGCTATGATCAGTATCGAGGAATTAAACGCTCACAGTTTATGACAAGTTTCTGGTTCTAGGTCTCAGAGGGAAGTGATAGTCAACTCAACCTATAACCTCAGATACAGCTACATCATTTATATCTATAGTCAGCTCAACCTATAACCTCAGATACAGCTACATCATTTATATCTATAGTCAGCTCAACCTATAACCTCAGATACAGCTACATCATTTATATCTATAGTCAGCTCAACCTATAACCTCAGATACAGCTACATCATTTATATCTATAGTCAACTCAACCTATAACCTCAGATACAGCTACATCATTTATATCTATAGTCAACTCAACCTATAACCTCAGATACAGCTACATCATTTATATCTATAGTCAACTCAACCTATAACATCAGATACAGCTACATCATTTATATCTATAGTCAGCTCAACCTATAGCATCAGATACAGCTACATCATTTATATCTATAGTCAACTCAACCTATAACCTCAGATACAGCTACATCATTTATATCTATAGTCAGCTCAACCTATAACCTCAGATACATCTACATCATTATATCTATAGTCAACTCAACCTATAACCTCAGATACAGCTACATCATTTATATCTATAGTCAACTCACCTATAGCATCAGATACAGCTACATCATTTATATCTATAGTCAACTCAACCTATAGCATCAGATACAGCTACATCATTTATATCTATAGTCAACTCAACCTATAGCATCAGATACAGCTACATCATTTATATCTATAGTCAACTCAACCTATAACCTCAGATACAGCTACATCATTTATATCTATAGTCAGCTCAACCTATAACCTCAGATACAGCTACATCATTTATATCTATAGTCAACTCAACCTATAGCATCAGATACAGCTACATCATTTATATCTATAGTCAACTCAACCTATAACCTCAGATACAGCTACATCATTTATATCTATAGTCAACTCAACCTATAACCTCAGATACAGCTACATCATTTATATCTATAGTCAGCTCAAACCTATAACCTCAGATACAGCTACATCATTTATATCTATAGTCAACTCAACCTATAACCTCAGATACAGCTACATCATTTATATCTATAGTCAACTCAACCTATAACCATCAGATACAGCTACATCCATTTATATCTATAGTCAACTCAACCTATAGCATCAGATACAGCTACATCATTTATATCTATAGTCAACTCAACCTATAACCTCAGATACAGCTACATCATTTATATCTATAGTCAACTCAACCTATAACCTCAGATACAGCTACATCATTTATATCTATAGTCAGCTCAACCTATAACCTCAGATACAACTACATCATTTATATCTATAGTCAGCTCAACCTATAACCTCAGATACAGCTACATCATTTATATCTATAGTCAGCTCAACCTATACTCAGATACAGCTACATATTTATATCTATAGCCAGCTCAACCTATAACCTCAGATACAGCTACATCATTTATATCTATAGTCAACTCAACCTATAACCTCAGATACAGCTACATCATTTATATCTATAGTCAACTCAACCTATAACCTCAGATACAGCTACATCATTTATATCTATAGTCAACTCAACCTATAACCTCAGATACAGCTACATCATTTATATCTATAGTCAACTCAACCTATAACCTCAGATACAGCTACATCATTTATATCTATAGTCAACTCAACCTATAACCTCAGATACAGCTACATCATTTATATCTATAGTCAACTCAACCTATAACCTCAGATACAGCTACATCATTTATATCTATAGTCAACTCAACCTATAACCTCAGATACAGCTACATCATTTATATCTATAGTCAACTCAACCTATAGCATCAGATACAGCTACATCATTTATATCTATAGTCAACTCAACCTATAACCTCAGATACAGCTACATCATTTATATCTATAGTCAACTCAACCTATAGCATCAGATACAGCTACATCATTTATATCTATAGTCAAACTCAACCTATAACCTCAGATACAGCTACATCATTTATATCTATAGTCAGCTCAACCTATAACCTCAGATACAGCTACATCATTTATATCTATAGTCAGCTCAACCTATAACCTCAGATACAGCTACATCATTTATATCTATAGTCAACTCAACCTATAACATCAGATACAGCTACATCATTTATATCTATAGTCAACTCAACCTATAACCTCAGATACAGCTACATCATTTATATCTATAGTCAACTCAACCTATAGCATCAGATACAGCTACATCATTTATATCTATAGTCAACTCAACCTATAACCTCAGATACAGCTACATCATTTATATCTATAGCCAGCTCAACCTATAACCTCAGATACAGCTACATCATTTATATCTATAGTCAACTCAACCTATAACCTCAGATACAGCTACATCATTTATATCTATAGTCAACTCAACCTATAACCTCAGATACAGCTACATCATTTATATCTATAGTCAACGATCAGATACAGCTACATCATTTATATCTATAGTCAACTCAACCTATAACCTCAGATACAGCTACATCATTTATATCTATAGTCAACTCAACCTCAGATACAGCTACATCATTTATATCTATAGTCAACTCAACCTATAGCATCAGATACAGCTACATCATTTATATCTATAGTCAACTCAACCTATAACCTCAGATACAGCTACATCATTTATATCTATAGTCAACTCAACCTCAGAAACAGCTACATCATTTATATCTATAGTCAACTCAACCTATAACCTCAGATACAGCTACATCATTTATATCTATAGTCAACTCAACCTATAACCTCAGATACAGCTACATCATTTATATCTATAGTCAACTCAACCTATAACATCAGATACAGCTACATCATTTATATCTATAGTCAAACTCAACCTATAACCTCAGATACAGCTACATCATTTATATCTATAGTCAAACTCAACCTATAACCTCAGATACAGCTACATCATTTATATCTATAGTCAACTCAACCTATAACCTCAGATACAGCTACATCATTTATATCTATAGTCAGCTCAACCTCAGATACAGCTACATCATTTATATCTATAGTCAACTCAACCTATAACCTCAGATACAGCTACATCATTTATATCTATAGTCAACTCAACCTCAGATACAGCTACATCATTTATATCTATAGTCAACTCAACCTATAACCTCAGATACAGCTACATCATTTATATCTATAGTCAACTCAACCTCAGATACAGCTACATCATTTATATCTATAGTCAACTCAACCTATAACCTCAGATACAGCTACATCATTTATATCTATAGTCAACTCAACCTATAACCTCAGATACAGCTACATCATTTATATCTATAGTCAACTCAACCTCAGATACAGCTCAAATCAATGAGGGTTCGGAGGTTTAAAGCCAATTATCTCATATTGCATATTGAACCTTATAGTCCCAAGCTCTCCAAATGTCAAGTCCTATTTTTTTTCTCTCACTTCTCTGTCACATTTTGCTTTGAATCATATCATTGGAAATAAACTGAATGTGATGTTTTGCTTGCTTCCATCATCTCACACAGATCACCGTATGGATCCTAGCCTCTGGCCTGTGATTGGTTTGCGTCGCTGCATAGTTAATTAGATATTGTCTCATCGGGGCTCTCTGACTGATGCAGGGAGTGCTAATTGCGGGCCTGTTTCAATCAGTCTCCAAACAGACAGACAGACAGCCAAGGAGTAACTGCAGCAAGTCAAATCATGGAGAGAAGAAAAGCCCTGTTTATACCTGGTTCTAACATGCTTCCTTTGTCCTGATCTCGTCCACATTCTGATTGTGGCCACATTTTCAGACAGGTGTAGACGATTAAAAGACACGTTGTGATTTGATTGTGATCAGATCTTCCTGACCACCTCTGGAGGTAGTCAGACACGTATTGTGTCTGGGTATCTTACCAGTGTAGACAGATCTGGAAAGAGAAACCATTTAAATCCTCATTATCCCACCTTCTAAAATCATCGACAGGTGGCACCATCGACTTATGGCATCAATAGGTGTCTTCAAATAAATAAATAACATACTATTTTGAAAGGAATAGCTGTCAAATCTGGTCACAATGTGGACACAATGGACAGAGAAGAGACCCATACAGTATTTCTGAAAATGTGGGCACAATCAGAATGTACAACAAGATCAGCGGCCGGTAAATCTAGTTCATTGTCATAACCAGCACACTCAGATGCTATATCTTCACCATGAGACTGACCACTCATGTTATCTGTTATGGTATGATGACAACAGTCCAGATATCTACTGTAATAGTATTAGAATACCGCAGGTATTTTACTTCTCCTGGAGCGTAGAAACCCCCAGATAGCTAGTGTGTACAAAGCCGCTCTGTACATGCATGATCAACTGTAGGCTACAGCAGAAATGGCACCCTATTTCCTACGTAGTGCACTTCTTTTGACCAGGGCTCATAAGTCTCTGGTCAAAAGAAGTGCACTATATAGGAATTAGGGTGCCATTTTGGGAAACAGCCTAGCTACAGAACATCTTCATGACCTCTTCTTGATGCTGGTCATCATTTTAAAAGTTCATCCCAAAGTGTCCAACATTTAGGTTTACTTTTGACATACGAGGGCATGATTTACCAATGACGGTCATCCATTATTCAAATGAGTTCCATTCTTCAAACCCCCCATCCTTAATACATTTTTCAGCAGTGTCAGCCTTTCGACTAGCAGCCTGTGGAATGTCCCCTGTTCCTCTGTCTCTGTCTCTGTCTCTGTCTCTATCTGTTTTCACACTAGACCAGACAAAACACGATGTGTGCCATGCAGTCAAAGGGTTAGTTATGGTGATTCATAAGACGTGACATCCACTGTTGAAGGATGGTTTGTCCCAGTCTGTGTCCTTCCCATCCTCTGAATATATTTAAAAAAAAGCTTTGTGAGATTATGCAATTGAGGTATAATAAAGGAATGACTATCAAGAGCAAAGAATGTATGAAGAGAAGCCACTCTAGCATTTAGCTCCAAAATTCATTCTATGTGTGCAAGAACAAATGGTGACCAAACTACTAACGGTATGTTGTAGGGCAGGCTGAACACAAGGGACGGGGAAGATATGTGCAAAGGACAATGACAGTGATATCCAATGGAGAGAGACTGTCTGTCTTAGCAGTCTAATTAATGAGAACATGTTTACATTTGACATACGCCTGTAGCATCACATCTACACCTTTATCTAAAGGCCCAATGCAGCCGTTTTAATATCAATATGAAATCATTTCTGGGTAACAAAAATAGCTTCGTAGCAAAGAGCAATTTCTCAAGCAAGAATTCTGCTAGGATTGTCTGGGAGCGGTCTCAATGGGGGGAGGGGAAAACTGAAAACTAGCTGTTATTGGCAGAGAGGTTTGGAACGCTCTTTCTTATTGGTCTATTAACTAATTTACCGAGTGGTGATGTCACCAGGCAGGCCAAAACTCCATCCCACCAAAACAGGCAGCTCTTAACACTAAAACAGCATTATCATAAAATTCACAATTTCACAGTATTATTCCAACCTTATCGTGTGGAAATATATATAAAACACACAGGACAATCACATGTTTTACTGCACTGGGACTTGATGAAACAACATCTTTGTTTATACTGTATGAAATACACAGTGCACATTCATAGCCACAATTCATGGGAATCTCAGTACAACCACACTCTATTTTTACCGTAAAGACATAAATGGACCTTAACTGAATTAGCATAGGCCTAATTGATTAATATCTCATTCTTGAAGCTTGAAAGTACCCTTTAGCGTTCTTTAAATCAGCATCAAGACCTTTACTTGGAAAGATGATCATACACTGTATTTTAACTGAATGACTTCAGGCTCTGTGTGTGTGACTGTTTCCTCCAGGGGCCACCAAAGACATGGGGAAAATGTTAGGAGGAGAGGAGGAGAAGGATCCAGAGGCCGCGAAGAAGAAGAAGGAGGAAGAGGAGGAGAGACAGGAGGCTCTGAGACAACAGGAGGAGGAGAGGAAGGATAAGCACCGGAAAATGGAGTCAGAAAGGGAAGTAGTACGACAGTCCATCAGGATCAAGGTGAGCACTGCAGCAGACAACAAACTACTCTGATACTATTTCACATTCAATGTACCCACCAGCCCCTTAAAAAAAACAAATTACATTTCTCCAGCCCCATCCTTCAGCTGTAAACGGAACCTAAAAAAGTACTTTGTTGTTCGTTGAATCCCAGATTGCTCCTTTAATGTAAACTAGAAATAATGTATAGTGTCTTCAGAAAGTCTTCATACCCTTTGACTTATTCCACATTTTGTTGTTACAGCCTGAATTCAAAATGGAGTAAATATATTTTTTGTCTCACCCATCTACATACAATACCCCATAATGACAAAGCGGAAACATGTTTTTAGAAATGTTTGCAAATTTATTGAAAATGGAATATCTCATTTACATAAGTATCCACACACCTGAGTCAATACTTTGTAGAAGCACCTTTAGCAGTGATTACAGCTGTGAGACTGTCTGGGTACGTCTCTAAGTACTTGGACTGTACAACATTTGCCCATTATTATAAAAAAATGTCTTCAAGCTCTGTTAAATTGGTTGTTAATCATTGCTAGACAACCAATTTCAAGTCTTGCCATAGATTTTCAAGTAGATTTAAGTCAAAACTGTAACTCCGCCTCTCGGGAACATTCACTGTCTTCTTGGTAAGCAACTCCAGTGTAGATTTGGCCTTGTGTTTTAGGTTATTGTCCTGCTGAAAAGTGAATTAATCTCCCGGTGTCTGGTGGAAAGCAGACTGAACCAGGATTTCCTCTAGGATTTTGCATGTGCTTAGCTCCATTCCATTTATTTTGTATCCTGAAAAACTCCCCAGTCCTTAACGATTACAATCATACCCATAACATGGTTCATTAATGTGTTGTATTGGATTTGCCCCAAACATAACACTTTGAATTCAGGACAAAAAGTTAATTAATTTGCCACATTTCTTGCAGTATTACTTTAGTGCCTTGTTGCAAACAGGATGCATGTCAGGATGCTTCTTTTCACTCTGTCATTTAGGTTAGTATTGTGGAGTAACTACAATGTTGTTGATCCATCCTCAGTTTTCTCCTATCACAGCCATTAAACTCTGTAACTGTTTTAAAGTCACCATTGGCCTCATGGTGAAATCCCTGCCCGGTTTCCTTCCTCTCCGGCAACTGAGTTAGGAAGGACACCTGTATCTTTGTAGTGACTGTGTGTATTGATACACCATCCAAAGTGTAATTAATAACTTTGCTCAAAGGGATATAAAATGTTAGATTTTTTCATGTTTACCCATCTACCAATGGGTGCCCTTCTTTGCGAGGCATTGGAAAACCTCCCTGGTCTTTGTGGTTGAATCTGTGTTTGAAATTCACTGCTCGACTGAGGGACCTTACAGATAATGTTATGTGTTTGGCACAGAGATGGGGTAATCATTCAAAAATCCTGGTAAACACTATTATTGCACAGAGTGAGTCCCATGCAACTGTCACACCCTGGCTCTGGGACTCTATTTGTTGAGCCAGGGTGTGTTTATTCTATGTGTTATATTTCTATGTTGGGGGTTCTAGTTTGTCATGTTCTATGTTGGCCTGAGTGACTCCCAATCAGAGGCAACGAGTGTCAGCTGTTTGCTGGTTGTCTCTGATTGGGAGCCATATTTAAACTGTCGGTTTTCCTTTGTGTTTTGTGGGTTCTTGTTTCGAGTTGGTTGTGTTTTACCGTGTACTGTCACGTTACCGTCTTTTGTTGTTTTGATCACGTTTCGCTAATAAATGAGTATGTTTGCCTGCAACGCTGCGCCTTGGTCCTCATCTGTTCCTGACGATCGTGACAGAAGAACCCACCATACCAGGACCAAGCAGCGTGTCCAGGAATCGGCGGCCTGGACGTGGGAACAGATTTTGGACGGGCAGGGGTCCTGGACCTGGGAGGAGATCCTGGCCGGGATGGATCGCCGGCCATGGAGTGAGACAATTGAGAGGCGACGGAGAGAGGAGCAACGGCGTAAGCAGTGTCAGCGTTGGACGGTCGAGAGGCAACCCCAAAACATTTTTAGGGGGGGGGCACACGGCATGGACGATGGGGCTGACGGAGGCAGAAAAGGGGCGGATTCAGAAGGCCACCAGGTTACGGGGGCCACTGGTCAAAGCAGGGAGGGAAGGTGTAGAGGCACGGCGAGAGGTACTGGGGTGTGTTACCAGTCCGGTCCGGCCCGTTCCAGATCCCGAGGTAGAGCCAGTGGTGTGTGTCCCCAGTACGGTCCGGCCTGTTCCAGCCCCTCGCACCAAGTGTACGGTGCGCGTCGCCAGCCCGGTCCGGCCTGTTCCTGCTCCTCGCACCAAACCTACGGTATGCGTCGCCAGCCCGGTCCGGCCTGTTCCTGCTTCACGCACCAAGCCTATGGTGTGCGTCGCCAGCCCGGTCCGGCCTGTCCCTGCTCCACGCACCAAGCCTACGGTGTGCGTCGCCAGCCCAGCCCGGCCTGTCCCTGCTCCACGCACCAAGCCTACGGGGTGCGTCGCCAGCCCAGCCCGGCCTGTCCCTGCTCCACGCACCAAGCCTACGGGGTGCGTCGCCAGCCCAGCCCGGCCTGTCCCTGCTCCACGCACCAAGCCTACGGGGTGCGTCGCCAGCCCAGCCCGGCCTGTCCCTGCTCCACGCACCAAGCCTACGGGGTGCGTCGCCAGCCCAGCCCGGCCTGTCCCTGCTCCACGCACCAAGCCTACGGGGTGCGTCGCCAGCCCAGCCCGGCCTGTCCCTGCTCCACGCACCAAGCCTACGGGGTGCGTCGCCAGCCCAGCCCGGCCTGTCTCTGCTCCACGCACCAAGCCTACGGGGTGCGTCGCCAGCCCGGCCCGGCCTGTTCCTGCTACTCGCACCAAACCTACGGTGCGCGTCGCCAGCCCGGCCCGGCCTGTTCCTGCCACTCGCACCAAGCCTACGGTGTGCGTCGCCAGCCCGGCCCGGCCTGTTCCTGCTACTCGCACCAAACCTACGGTGCGCGTCGCCAGCCCGGCCCGGCCTGTTCCTGCCACTCGCACCAAGCCAGGGGTGCGAGTCGCCAGCCCGGCCCGGCCTGTTCCTGCCACTCGCACCAAGCCAGGGGTGCGAGTCGTCAGCCTGGTCCAGCCTGTTCCTGCCACTCGCACCAAGCCAGGGGTGCGAGTCGTCAGCCTGGTCCAGAACGTTCCTGCTACTCGCACCAAGCCAGGGGTGCGAGTCGTCAGCCTGGTCCAGCCCGTTCCTGCTACTCGCACCAAGCCAGGGGAGCGAGTCGTCAGTCCGGTGAGGCCCGTTCCGGCTCCAAGCACCAAGCCAGGGGTGCGAGTCGTCAGTCCGGTGAGGCCCGTTCCGGCTCCACGCACCAAGCCAGGGGTGTGAGTCGTCAGTCTGGTGAGGCCCGTTCCGGCTCCACGCACCAAGCCAGGGGTGCGAGTCGTCAGTCCGGTGAGGCCCGTTCCGGCTCCACGCACAAAGCCAGGGGTGCGAGTCGTCAGCCCGGTCCGGCCAGTTGCTACTCCACGCACCAAGCCAGGGGTGCGCATCGTCAGCCCGGTCCGGTCCATTCCTGCTCCACGCACCAAGCCAGGGGTGTGTATCGTCAGCCCGGTTCGGCCAGGTGCTACTCCACGCACCAAGCCAGGGGTGCGCATCGTCAGCCCGGTCCGTTCCTGCTCCATGCACCAAGCCAGGGGTGCGTGTCGTCAGTCCGGCTCCGGCCAGCGGGGCTAGACCGGACCAGGGGCGCTATGGGGGGTTGATTGGAGGGTGGTGGGCAAGGCCGGAGCCAGAACCGCCGCCGAGGAGGTATGCCCACCCAGCCCTCCCCTGTTTAGCTCTTATTGAGGCGCGGTCGCAGTCCGCGCCTTTAGGGGGGGGTACTGTCACACCCTGGCTCTGGGACTCTATTTGTTGAGCCAGGGTGTGTTTATTCTATGTGTTATATTTCTATGTTGGGGGTTCTAGTTTGTCATGTTCTATGTTGGCCTGAGTGACTCCCAATCAGAGGCAACGAGTGTCAGCTGTTTGCTGGTTGTCTCTGATTGGGAGCCATATTTAAACTGTCGGTTTTCCTTTGTGTTTTGTGGGTTCTTGTTTCGAGTTGGTTGTGTTTTACCGTGTACTGTCACGTTACCGTCTTTTGTTGTTTTGATCACGTTTCGCTAATAAATGAGTATGTTTGCCTGCAACGCTGCGCCTTGGTCCTCATCTGTTCCTGACGATCGTGACAGCAACTTATTATGTGACTTGTTAAGCAAATGTTTACTCCTAAACATATTTAGGCTTGCCATAACAAAGGGGTTGAATACTTATCGACTCAAGACATTTCAGCTTTTCATTTTTTATTAATTTGTTTAAACATAATTCCACTTAGACATTATGGGGTATTGTATGTAGGCCAGTGACCAAAACAATCTCAATTTAATCCATTTTAAATTCAGGTCTCTCCAGAGATGTTCGATCGGGTTCAAGTCCGGGCTCTGGCTGGGCCACTCAAGAACATTCAGAGACTTGTCCCGAAGCCACTCCTGCGTTGTCTTGGCTGTGTGCTTAGAGTCGTTGTCCTGTTGGAAAGTGAACCTTCGGTCCAGTCTGAGGTCCTGAGCGCTCTGGAGCAGGTTTTCATCAAGGATCTCTGTACTTTGCTCCGTTCATTTTTCCCTAGATCCTGACTAGTCTCCCAGTCCCTGCTGCTGAAAAACATCCCCACAGCAAGATGCTGCCACAACCATGCTTCACCGTAGGGATGGTGCCAGGTTTCCTCCAGAAGTGACGCTTGGCATTCAGGCCAAAGAGTTCAATCTTGGTTATATCAGACCAGAGAATCTTGTTTCTCACCGTCTGAGAGTCCTTTAGGTGCCTTTTGGCAAGCACCAAGCGGGCTGTCATGTGCCTTTTACTGAGGAGTGGCTTCCGTCTGGCCACTCTACCAGGATTGGTGGAGTGCTGTAGAGATGGTTGTCCATCTAGAAGGTTCTCCCATCTCCACAGAGGAACTTTGGAGCTCTGTCAGAGTGTCCATAGGGTTCTTGGTCACCTCCCTGCCAAGGCCCTTCTCCCCCGATTGCTCAGTTTGGCCGGGTGGCCAGCTCTAGGAAGAGTCTTGGTGGTTCCAAACTTCTTCCATTTAAGAATGATGGAGGCCACTGTGTTCTTGGGGACCTTCAATGCTGCAGAAATGTTTCGACACAATCCTGTCTCGGAGCTCTACGGACAATTCCTTCGACCTCATGGCTTGGTTTTTGCTCTGACATGCAATGTCAACTGTGGGGCCTTATGTAGACAGGTGTGTGCCTTTCCAAATCATGTCCAATCAATTGAATTTACCCCAGGTGGACTCCAATCAAGTTGTAGAAACATCTCAAGGATTATCAATGGAAACAGGATGCACCTGAGCTCAATTTCGAGTCTCATAGCAAAGGGTCTGAATACTTATGTAAATAAGGTATTTTTAAATATTACTTTTTAGAAATTTGCTAAACTTTCTAAAAACCTGTTTTCGCTTTGTCATTATGAGGTATTGTGTGTAGATTGATGAGGGGAAAAACAATTTAATCCATTTTAGAATAAAGGCTGTAACGTAACAAAATGTGGAAAAGGTCAAGGGGTCTGAATACTTTCCTAATCCACTGTATATATATTGTTAACTCTATGCCCTTCATCCACGCAGTATGGCCTGAAGAAGAAGGAGGAGAAGGAGGCGGAGGAGAAGGCGGCCATGGAGCAGGCCTGCGAGGGGTCTCTGACGCGCGCCAAGAAGGCCATCCCAGCCGGGTGCGGAGACGAGGAGGATGAGGATGAGGAGAGCATTCTGGACACCGTCCTCAAGTTCCTCCCTGGACCTCTGCAGGACATGTTCAAGAAGTAATGAACACATGAACAACAACAACACATGGGAGTGGGAGGGGAGATCTGGGACATGGTTCGGTCTAGCCAGGGGAGGGGGAGGGGGAGGGGAGATCTGGGACATGGTTCGGTCTAGCCAGGGGAGGGGGGAGGGGGAGGGGGAGATCTGGGACATGGTTCGGTCTAGCCAGGGGAGGGGGAGGGGGAGGGGGAGATCTGGGACATGGTTCGGTCTAGCCAGGGGAGGGGGAGGGGGAGGGGGGAGATCTGGGACATGGTTCGGTCTAGCCAGGGGAGGGGGAGGGGGAGGGGGAGGGGAGATCTGGGACAGGAGGATGGGGGTAGGAAGGGTGGAGGGGTTCTTGCCAAACTGTGGGAGGCGGCTATTCACTGCCTTTACAAAAATATGTGTTGTTTTCTTACTCTGACTAGACATAATGTGGTTATATATCTACCCACAGCTTTTAATCGGTCTCTCAACCGCCGACTAAGTGTATCTTTGATTCTTTCTCCACTTATCTAACGTTCCAACATTGGTAGATAGAGCCACCACACCAGGTAGATGCATTTGGATTGGTTGGCCATTGGTATTAACTAGGGTATGGAGATTCTGTCCAGCCGTGCAGAGAGAGCGGTATTCAATACACCATGCTAACGGACACTTCATTGGGCATTCCTGCTCATGTGGTTGAAAGGCACTGCCAACACGTATATATGGAGATGGAACGCTTTTTCTATTTTTATAGTAAGTAAGCTACTGTTAACTGTATGGGAGGCAATGCTGAAGTGGATATTCTATTCTAGGTCTTTTTTAGAACGCCAGTTTAGTTTGTTTAGAGTGACTGTGCCTTCGTAGGACTTCCTCCACTAGGGGGAGCTGTAAATGAGGGTCTCATTGAAGTCATTTGATGATGTAATTTAACTTTATAATATGTTGTTTGTCTTTAAAACTGATGCGGACCCGCCACATTATGACGTATGTATTTAATGTTAGTCTGGCTGTACGCATAGATCTGGTCCGATGCCTTCTTATGCTATGAAACACTAAGGCAACTGGAATATTTGATGTCCCTTTAAATACCCGACTAATATAAAACATCTCTGATTTTCCCAGATGAAATATAAGAGATTCTCAGCTTGACAGACAGACTGCATTTTGTGAGAGAACCCATTTTTACTTACTGTTGCATTATAAACAAAGGGCACCCTATCAACATTATACACTCAAATTATCCGTAGAATACACTAGATTTATATTCAGTGTTGAGAAGAAGAGAAACACACACATTTCTATGAAAATGATTTAGTCAACATCATATTTAGCAGCTGGTGGTTAGTCCCAAAGACAATGAAACACGAGCACCCCATTACATTGAAGGAAGCCGATACTGCGTATGTCATCATTTCGTTACCCACCTCCCATACCACATCTGTTTTACACAAGGTAATTGTTTAACTAATTATTGTTTGAATTCATCAAGTCCAAAGATACTGAAAAAAACATGATCATTTCTTTCGTCAAATTCTAAGGAAATTGTCTAAGGAGGTGGTCCAGAACTAAGGAAGTGGTCCAGAACTAAGGAAGTGGTCCAGATTTGGTCTTGTTGATTGCAGTAGGAATAGACTGGTAACATATAGTTGTTATGAACACTGTTGTCATTTTGGGTAACACTTTCCAAAGACCAAACCCTGTGAAGTTTTATTTTTCAAATAACGTACATGGCTACATGACATTGAAGATTGATACATTCGAAAAATGAACAGAAACATTTAAATAATCACAGGTTATGAGTACATTTTTCTTAACTTTATTTTAGGTCTGATGGGGTTTTTCATTAGGTAAAGCCATTAAAAAATATATATATTTAAAAAATTTAGTCATTTAGCAGACGCTCTTATCCAGAGCGGCTTACAGTTAGTGAGTGCATACATGTTTTTTTTTTTTTTTCATACTGGCCCCCCGTGGGAATTGAACCCACAACCCTGGCATTGCAAACGCCCATGTTCTACCAACTGAGCTACACGGGACCATATTGTTTAGATTGCAATAATCACTCAAAAACAATACAAATTATGTTTGTTTTCTGTAAAGAAAAAAAGTACAAGTTCTGTTAAGCTATCTACATATTTGTCTAGTGTATACGCCAAGAAAAGATGAGAAAAAAAATGATGAAGCCATTGTAATGATGTCTATGTACTGCTGAATGTATACAGGAAGTACGTTTGTACGTTTATACAATATGTGTGTCTTTTTGTCTGTGACGTGATACCATGTTGTTGATTCATATACTTCCTGTTTATAAGTGTTTTTTGAATCTTATGTGCACAAACTCTTAACTAGGCTCTAATAGCTGTGCCACATGACCCCCCCCAAAAAAAACTTTACACATTCCTTTCACATCTCTAGCATGCAAAACTATAGGAACATAGGGGAAAGATCTACACCAAATACTACAACACAAAATATGTCCTGTTTATGTAGTAGTCTCCCGGCAACATAATCTGTTTACTAGATCCAGAAGTTTGGGTTGTTGTAGATTCTCAGCTCTATGATGGCCTGTGTCGATCACATGACAAATAGACTGAATTATTAGGGTTCCGGCAATGCTCTCAGATGTAGTGCTACATGTCTTGCTAGAACATGTCTGTTATCCATCTCCATGTCTTGTTAGAACATGTCTGTTATCCATGTACTTTCATTCAGCTCCTAAAAAAGGTCCAAAGATAAAGAATAATTTTCGAACTCAGTCCATAAATGAATAGCTAATGCTGTAAAACGTATTCCTATAATACCTGGCCCTATAACATCCTACTCCTATAACACCTGGCCCTATAACATCCTACTCCTATAACACCTGGCCCTATAACATCCTACTCCTATAACACCTGGCCCTATAACATCCTACTCCTATAACACCTGGCCCTATAACATCCTACTCCTATAACATCCTACTCCTATAACACCTGGCCCTATAACATCCTACTCCTATAACATCCTACTCCTATAACACCTGGCCCTATAACATCCTACTCCTATAACATTCTACTCCTATAACATCCTACTCCTGTAATATCCTACTCCTATAACATCCTACTCCTATAACATCCTACTCCTATAACATTCTACTCCTATAACACCTGGCCCTATAACATCCTACTCCTATAACACTTGGCCCTATAACATCCTACTCCTATAACACCTGGCCCTATAACATCCTACTCCTATAACACCTGGCCCTATAACATCCTACTCCTATAACACCTGGCCCTATAACATCCTACTCCTATAACACCTGGCCCTATAACATCCTACTCCTATAACACCTGGCCCTATAACATCCTACTCCTATAACACTTGGCCCTATAACATCCTACTCCTATAACACCTGGCCCTATAACATCCTACTCCTATAACACTTGGCCCTATAACATCCTACTCCTATAACACTTGGCCCTATAACATCCTACTGCTATAACATCCTACTCCTATAACATCCTACTCCTATAACACTTGGCCCTATAACATCCTACTCCTATAACACCTGGCCCTATAACATCCTACTCCTATAACACCTGGCCCTATAACATCCTACTCCTATAACACTTGGCCCTATAACATCCTACTCCTATAACACCTGGCCCTATAACATCCTACTCCTATAACACTTGGCCCTATAACACCCTACTCATATAACACTTGGCCCTATAACATCCTACTCCTATAACACCTGGCCCTATAACATCCTACTCCTATAACACCTGGCCCTATAACATCCTACTCCTATAACACCTGGCCCTATAACATCCTACTCCTATAACACTTGGCCCTATAACATCCTACTCCTATAACATCCTACTGCTATAACATCCTACTCCTATAACATCCTACTCCTATAACACCTGGCCCTATAACATCCTACTCCTATAACATCCTACTCCTATAACACCTGGCCCAATAACATCCTACTCCTATAACACCTGGCCCTATAACATCCTACTCCTATAACATCCTACTCCTATAACACCTGGCCCTATAACATCCTACTCCTATAACATCCTACTCCTATAACACCTGGCCCTATAACATCCTACTCCTATAACATTCTACTCCTATAACATCCTACTCCTGTAATATCCTACTCCTATAACATCCTACTCCTATAACATCCTACTCCTATAACATTCTACTCCTATAACACCTGGCCCTATAACATCCTACTCCTATAACACTTGGCCCTATAACATCCTACTCCTATAACACCTGGCCCTATAACATCCTACTCCTATAACACCTGGCCCTATAACATCCTACTCCTATAACACCTGGCCCTATAACATCCTACTCCTATAACACCTGGCCCTATAACATCCTACTCCTATAACACCTGGCCCTATAACATCCTACTCCTATAACACTTGGCCCTATAACATCCTACTCCTATAACACCTGGCCCTATAACATCCTACTCCTATAACACTTGGCCCTATAACATCCTACTCCTATAACACTTGGCCCTATAACATCCTACTGCTATAACATCCTACTCCTATAACATCCTACTCCTATAAACACTTGGCCCTATAACATCCTACTCCTATAACACCTGGCCCTATAACATCCTACTCCTATAACACCTGGCCCTATAACATCCTACTCCTATAACACTTGGCCCTATAACATCCTACTCCTATAACACCTGGCCCCTATAACATCCTACTCCTATAACACTTGGCCCTATAACACCCTACTCATATAACACTTGGCCCTATAACATCCTACTCCTATAACACCTGGCCCTATAACATCCTACTCCTATAACACCTGGCCCTATAACATCCTACTCCTATAACACCTGGCCCTATAACATCCTACTCCTATAACACTTGGCCCTATAACATCCTACTCCTATAACATCCTACTGCTATAACATCCTACTCCTATAACATCCTACTCCTATAACACCTGGCCCTATAACATCCTACTCCTATAACATCCTACTCCTATAACACCTGGCC